AAATCCTTTCAAATCCTTTCACTTTCCTTCAGTATAAGGCACAGCAGAAAATCCTTTTCAAATCCTTTCACTTTCCTTCAGTATAAGGCACTGCAGAAAATCAGTCCTTTCAAATTCCCAGCAGAAAATTTTCAAATCTTTCCTTTCCAGACATCGTTGGGCAGAAAATCCCAAATCCTTTCACTTTCCTTCAGTATAAGGCACTGCAGAAAATCACTTTCAAATCCTTTCACACTTTCCTTCAGTATAAGGCACAGCAGAAAATCCCTTTCAAATCCTTTTCACTTTCCTTCAGTATAAGGCACTGCAGAAAAAATCCTTTCAAATCCTTTCCAGACATCCTTCAGTATAAGGCACTGCAAATCCTCCTTTCAAATCTTTTCACTTTCCTTCAGTATAAGGCACTGCCCTTTCAAAATCCTTTCAGACACCTTCAGTATAATCGCCCAAATCCCATTTTCAAATCCTTTCCAAACATCGTTATAAGGCACTGCAGAAAATCGCTTTCAAATCTTTCACTTTCCTTCAGTATAAGGCACTGCAGAAAATCCTTTCAAATCCTTTCACCCTTTCCTTCAGTATAAGGCACTGCAGAAAATCCTTTCAAATCCTTTTTCTTTCCTTCAGTATAAGGCACAGCAGAAAATCCTTTCAAACACTTTCACTTTCCTTCAGTATAAGGCACTGCAGAAAATCCTTTTCAAATCCTTTTCAAACTCCTATAAGGCACTGCAGAAAATCCTTTTTTCCTTCAGTATAAGTTTTCGTGAAAATCCTTTCAAATCCTTCCCTTCAGTATAAGGCACTGCAGAAAATCCTTTCAAATCCTTTTTCACTTTCCCTCAGTATAAGCACTGCAGAAAAATCCTTTCAAACATTTCACTTTCCTTCAGTATAAGGCACTGCAGAAAATCCTTTCAAATCCTTTCACTTTCCTTCAGTATAAGGCACTGCAGAAAAATCCTTTCAAATCCTTTCACTTTCCTTCAGTATAAGGCACTGCAGAAAATCCTTTCAAATCCTTTCACTTTCCTTCAGTATAAGGCACTGCAGAAAATCCTTTCAAATCCTTTCTTTCCTTCAGTATAAGGCACACCTTTTCAAATCTTTCACTTTCCTTCAGTATAAGGCACTGCAGAAAATCCTTTCAAATCCTTTCAAACTCTTTCCCTTCAGTATAAATCACTGCAGAAAAATCCTTTCAAATCCCTTTTCACTTTCCTTCAGTATAAGGCACAGCAGAAAATTTTCAAATCTTTCCTTTCCTTCAGTATAAGGCACTGCAGAAAAATCCTTTCAAATCCTTTCACTTTCCTTCAGTATAAGGCACAGCAGAAAATCCTTTCAAATCCTTTCACTTTCCTTCAGTATATAAGGCACTGCAGAAAAATCCTTTCAGATAAGGCATCCTTTCAAATCTTTTCCTTCAGTATATAAGGCACTGCAGAAAATCCTTTCCAAATCCTTTCACTTTCCTTCAGTATAAGGCACTGCAGAAAATCCTTTCAAATCCTTTCACTTTCCTTCAAATAAGGCACTGCAGAAAAATCCTTTCAAATCCTTTCACTTTCCTTCAGTATAAATCCACTGCAGAAAATCGTTGGTCCTTTTCACTTTTCAGTTCAAGGTCCTTTCAAATCCTTTCACTTTCCTTCAGTACCAGACTGCAGAAAATCCTTTCAAATCCCTTTCAAATTCCTTCCAGTATAAGGCACTGCAGAAAATCCTTTCAAATCCTTTTCACTTTCCTTCAGTATAAGGCACTTCCTTTCAAAATTTCTTTCACGTTTCCTTCAGTATAAGGCACATTTTCAAATCCTTTCAAATCCTTTCAGACACCAGTATAAGGCACTTCCTTTCAAATCCTCCCTTTCCTTCAGTATAAGGCACTCCAGAAATCCTTTCAAATCCTTTTCACTTTCCTTCAGTAAAGGCACTGCAGAAAAATCCTTTCAAATCCTTTCCCTTTTCCTTCAGTATAAGGCACAGCAGAAAATCCTTTCAAATCCTTTCAAATTCCTTCAGTATAAAGCACTGCAGAAAATCGTCCCCTTTCACTTTCCTTCAGTATAAGGCACTGCAGAAAATCCTTTCAAATCTTTCACCCTTCCTTCATTATAAGACACTGCAGAAAATCCTTTCAAATTTTCAAACCTTCAAGACAGTATAGTTTTTCTGCAGAAAATCCTTTTCAAATCCTTTCACTTTCCCCTTTCAAATACACTCCAGAAAATCTTTTCGCCCCAGTTTCAAAAAAAATCCTTTTCAAATTTCCAGACACCGTATAAAGGCACTTCGAAAATCCCTTTCAAATCCTTCCAGACATCTTTCCTTCAGTTCGTCCCACTGCAGAAAAATCGTTTCAAATCCTTTCACTTTTTCAGTATGTCCTTTTCAAAATCCTTTCAGACATTTCCTTGGTATAAGTCCCCTTTCAAATCCCTTTCAATAAGGCACTGCAGAAAATCCTTTCAAACATTTCGTTATAAACTGGCAAACAGACAAATCCTTCCAGACATCGCTGTTTTCGTCCCCTTTCAAAAACCTTTCAGAACATCGTTGAAGTCTTTAGTCCCCTTTCAAATACTTCCAGACATCGTTAGTCTTTTCGTCCCCTTTCAAATTCTTCAAGACACCGTTGTGATTGTTCGTCAAATTTTTCAAATCCTTCCAGACATCGTTGGCAGTTTTTCGTGTCCTTTTCAAATCCTTCCAGACATCGTTTTAAACGTTTTCATTCCTTTTCAAATCCTTCCAGATATCGTTGGGGTTTTTCGTCCCCATTTCAAAAACCTTTCAGACATCGTTGGGTCTTTAGCCCACTTTTCAAATTCTTCCAGACATCGTTGACGTCTTTCGTCCCCATTTCCAAAACCTTTCAGACACCGTTAGTCTTTCGCCCCATTTTCAAATCCTTCCAGACACAGTTGGCGGTTTTCCTCCCCTTTTCAAACCCTTCCAGACATCGTTGGGGTGATCTTTCGCCCCATTTTCAAATCCTTCCAGACATCGATTGAGTCTTCCAGTCCCCTTTTCAAATCCTTCCAGACAAGGTTCCAGGTTTCGTTGGTGTTTTCGTGTCCTTTCAAATCCTTCCAGACACCGTTGGTGTCTTTCGTCTCCTTTCAAATCCTTCAGACATCGTTGGGGTCTTTCGTCTCTATTCAAATCCTTCAGACACCGTTGTGATCTTCTTCTCACTTCAAATCCTTCCAGACACAGCTGGCGGTTTTCCTCCATTTCAAATCTCCAGACAATTGCCAGGATCTTTATCCCATTTTCAACCTTCCAGGCTGTTGGCGTGCCTTTTTCCTTCCCTTTCAACCTTCCAGACATCGTTGGTGTTTTCGTGTCCTTTCAAATCCTTCCAGACATCGTTGGAGTACCTTTTTGTCCCTTCAAATCCTTCCAGACATCAAGTTGGGGCCTTTCGTGCCCTTTTCAAATCCTTCCAGACACTGTTGTAATCTTTTGTCCTTTCATTTCCTTCAGTATAGGCAATGTTTCAAATCCTTTCACTTTCCTTCATTAGCACTGCACGAAATCAAAATCCTTTCCAGATCTGCTGACTGTGACAAATGCCATTTCAAATCTCTTCACTTTTTCTTCAGTATAATGCGTGCCGAAATCCTTTCAAATCCTTCAAAATCTTTCCTTTTCAGTGAGCACACCACAAAATGTTTTCAAATGTCCTTTCAAATTTCTTCCTTTTCATAATTTCCTTCTGTATACAGCAGGCGGCCTTTCCCTTTCCTTCTTTCCTTCAGACAAGGCACTGCAGAAAATCCTTTCAAATCCTTTCACTTTCCTTCAGTTCTTCATTAACTCAAAATCCTTTCAAAATCCTTTCACTTTCCTGTTCAAGTATAAGGTTCACATTTCAAAATGCCATTTCACATCTCTCATTTCCTTCATTCATAAAGGCACCAAAAATCGTTTCAAATTTTCTTTCATTCAGTTCAAAATCCAGATCAAAAATCCTTTCCTTTTCTGCTGATTCAAGGTTCACATGTGACAAAATGCCATTTGACATCTTTCTCTTTCCTTCATATAAAGAGCACAGCATGTCGTTGGTTTCATCATTCCTTCAAATAAGGCATGCAAAAATCCTTTCCTTTCCTTTCTGATCCTTCAACGGGTGTTCACATGTGACAAAATGCCATTTCAAATCTCTTTCATTTTCCTTCAGTATAATGTCATTTTGATTTTCATCATTCGTCCTTCAATACGATACAAAAATCCTTTCCTTTTCTGCTGATGATCAGCTGTTCTTTCCTTCAGTATGGCACTGAAAATCCTTTCAAATCCTTTCAAATCCTTCGGTACAACAGTTGCTTTTTATTTCAAATCCTTTCAAATTTCCTTTTCAGTATGAGGCACTGTTCAGAAAATCTTTCAAATCTCTTTCACTTTCCCTTCAATATAAGGCACATCATTGAAAATACGATGCAAATCCTTTTCCAGACCTTCGGTGTTCAAGTGCAAGATGCCATTGAAAATCCTTTCAAATCATTTCACTTTCCTTCAAGTCATCATTCGTCCCCTTCAAAGACTTTCCTTTTCTTCATGTATAAGGTTGCAGACAAAATGCTTTCAAATCCTTTCACTTTCCCTTCAATGTCGTTAGGTTTTTCCTTTTCAATCCTTTCAAAATAAGATGCAAAATCTTTCCTTTTCTGCTGATAAAGGCAGCTGTTCCTTTTCAAATCCTTTCACATTCCTCTTCAGTGTTTTTCAATGTCCTTTCAAATTTTTCATTTCCTTCCCACATAATACACTGCAAAAATCCTTTTCTTTTCTGCTTCAAATAAGCTGTTCACTATGACAAAATCCATTTCAAATCTTTCAGCTTTCCTTCAGTATAATGCGTTGCTTTTTCAAATCCTTTCAAAATCCTTTCAAAATCCTTTCCTTTCCTTCTGTATGAAGCACTGCTGTTTCAAATCCTTTCAGTATGAGCACTGCCAAAATCGCTTTCAAATGATCACTTTCGCTTCTGTATGAGCATCGTTTCAAATCCTTTCATTGGTCAAATACGGCACTGCAAAATCCTTTCCTTTCTGCTTCAAATCTGTTCATATGACAACATGCATTTGGGTCTTTCAAATCCTTTCGTTGCTTTCATTCGGTCTAAATACGATGCAAAAAATCCTTTCCTTTCCTTTCTTCATATAAGCAGCTGTTTTCAAATCAGACACGTTGGTATAAGGCACATTTTCAAATCCTCTCAGCGTCATTTTCACTGCAGCCCCTTTCAAATCATTTCATTGGTTTGGTCAGTATAAAAATCCTTTTCCTTTTCTTCAGTATAAGGCTGCACATTAAAAATCAAACACAAATCCTTTCACTTTCCTTCAGTCCAACTCAGAAAATCATCAATGTCCTTTCAAATTCTCAAAGGTCACAGCGGCGGAAAATCCTTTTTCAAATTCTTTCAGAAAATTGCAAAATGCCATTGATTTCTCTCAGTATCCCACTCGCAGAAAATCCCTTTCAAATCCCGTGCTTTCCTTTGGTCCTAAGGCACAGCAGAAAAATACCTTTTTCCTTTCCTTTTCTGCTGATGAAGCACTGCAGACATCGTTTCAAATCATTTTCATCACCTTCATTCTTACGGCAAAATCCTTTCCAGACATCATTGGCACTGCAGAAAATCGCAAAATCTTTCCTTTAAAGAAATCCTTCCCTTTCACTTTCAATGCCATTTGGCACTCTCAGCTTCCCTTCATTCAAAATCCTTTGTCTTTCCTTTTAGACACTGTTGCAAAATCCTTTTCTTTTTCAGTTAAGGCACATTTTCAAATCCTTTCAAATCCTTTCATGTTTTCAGTATAAAACTGCTTCAAATCCTTTCAAATCAATGTCTTGCTTTCATCATGTATCACAGACAATCGTTGAAATCCTTTCCTTTTCTGCTGAAAATCCTTTCAAATCTGTTCACTTTCCTTCGAACAAGATGCAGACAATCGCATCTCAGCTTCGGTATTCTGCAGAAAAATCCCTTTCAAAGACTTTCATCATTGGTCGAAAATATGATTCAAAATCCTTTTCTTTCCTTCATATAAGAGCTGTCCTTTTCAAATCCCTTTCACACATGCCATTTCACCTTTACTTTCCAGCTTCAGTATAAGGCACAAATCCTTTCAAACATCTGTTTTCATTTCACCCAAAAATCCCTTCCTTTTTTCCTTCATATAGCTGGTCTGCACAAAATACGAAATCCCTTTCAGCTTCAAATCACACAGCAAATTTCTTTTCAAGATTCGGTATAAGTTGCAGTTTTTCCTTTTTTCCTGACAAATGCACATTCAAAATCGTTGAAATCCATTTGTCTTTCTTTCTTAAGGCACCCAAAATGTTTCTTTTCATTTCATTGGTCATAATACGATGCAAAAATCCTTTCCATTTCTGCTGATGAAATAGCTAAAAGATACCGTTCGATCCCTTCCTTCAGCTGAAATCCAATGCCTTTTCCTTCGTATAAAGTCATATCGTCGCAAAATCTTTCACTTTCTTCTGTATAAAGGCACTGCAGAAAATGCCAGATGTCGTCACTTTCAACTTTCACTGCAGAAAATCCTTTTTCAAAATAAGGCACTAAGAAAAGAAATCCTTTCCTTTTCTGCTGATGAAGCATCTGATCACAGAACAAGATGCCCATTTGATTTCTCGGCTTCGCTTTCCTTACGTCAGACATGTCATTTTCCTTTTCATCATTTCAAAATACGATCAAATCCAGATTTCTGCTGATATAACAGGTGTTCACAAAATCTTTCAAAGATGCCCATTCACATCTCTAAGCTCCAGAAATCCTTTCAAAATCCTTGTCGTTTCTTTTCATCGAAACTTCTATGATGCAAAATCCTTCCCTTTTTCTGCTCCCTTTCAAGCTCACTCCAGAAAATCCATTTGGTCTTTCCTTCATTATAAGTCTCAGAAAATCCTTTCAATCCTTTCAGACCTTCAGTGGAAGTACGATGCAAAAATCCTTTCCTTTCCTGATGAGACATCGTTTCAGTATTTTCAGAAAATCCTTTCAAATCTCTCCAGACATTCAGTATAAAGGCACTGAAAATTTCCGTCCCCATTGGTCAAAAAATTTTTCAAATCCTTTCCTTTTCTTCCCTTTCAAAGGCTTTCCAGACATCGTTGGGGTCTTTCCGTCCTCAGCTCAAAATTCTTTCCAGACAAGAGCTGTGAAAATCCCCTTTCAAATCCCTTGGTCCAAATACGCATCAAAAATCCCTTTCAAACAAAGGCAGTTTAAAGTTCCCTGCATTCAAACTCTTTCATTGACATCCTTTTCTTTCAACTTTACGTCATCCCTTTTCCTTGATTTTCCAGGTCACTACAAAACGATGCAAAATCCTTTCCCCATCCTTGAAAAGCAGCTTCAGACATCAATTTGACATCTCTCAGCTTCATTTCTTTTCAAATGTCGTTCCAGACATCAAAGTCACGTCTTTTTAACAATCCCCTTTTCTGCTGAAATCAGCTGTTCCATACACCGTTTGATCATCTCTCAGCTTTTTCAAATCCTCCACCATTTTCACAGTTGTCGTTGGTTTTCATCATTGGTTCAAAAATTCCAGACAAAATCGTTTCTTTTCTGCTGATGAAGCAGGTGTTCCCCCCTGTGACAAAGATGCCATCTTGACATCTCTTTCTTCGTCATCAATGTCCTTGCTTTTCATCAAGGTTGGGGTTACAGTCAAAAAATATTTCCTTTTCTGCTTCCATGGGCAGCTGTTCCCTTGACAAAGATGCATTTGAAATCTTTCAGCTTCATTTCATGGCACCCAATGTCGTTTGCTTTTCATCATTCGTCAAATACGATGCAAAAATCCTTTCCTTTTCTGCTGATGACAGCTGTTCCTGTGACAAGATACCATTTGACATCTCTGCGTCATTTCATACGGCATCAATGTCTTGCATTTCATCATTGGTCAAATATACGATGCAACAATCCTTTCCTTTTCTGCTGATGAAGCAGTTGTTCATATATGTGACAAGATGCCATTTTGTAAGTCTCTCACCCAATTAACTCATTTCATCTCATTGGTCATAATGTCCTCCTTTCCTTTTCCCTCATTGGACATAATGACAAGATGCCGAAAAATCCTTTCCTTTTCATCATTGGTCATGTACGAGCAGTTGTTCACATGTGACAAGATTCACTTGACAGATCATTTCAGAATCTCATATGGCACCCAATGTCCTTGCTTTTCATCATTGGACATAAGAATAATAAAATCCTTTCCTTTTCTGCTGATTGCCAGTTGTTTACATGTGACAGATGCCATTTGACATCTCTCAGCTTCAACTCAGCATGGCAACTCCAATGTCCTTGCTTTTCCTCATTGGACAAAATACGATGCAAAATCCTTTCCTTTCTGCTGATGAAGAAGCACTGTTCTGTGACAAAGATGCCATTTGACGTCTCTCTTTTTCACTCATATGGCACCCTGTGTCGTTGTTTTCATCATTGGTCAAATACGATGCAAAAATCCTTTTCTGCTGATTAAGCAGCTTGTTCACTTGTGACAAAGATGCCATTTGACATCTCTCAGCTTAACTCATACGGCACCACAATGTCCTTGCTTTTCATCATTGGTCAAAATACGATGCAAAAAATCTCTTTTCTTTTCTGTTGATGTAACAGCTGTTCAAGAACTCCTGGCACAAGATTCCCATTTGACATCTCTCAGCGTCAAAAATCCTTCCTTTTCTGCTGATGAAGCACTGTTCAAATGTCGTTTGCTCTCTTCATCATTGGTCCAAAATACGATGCAAAAAATCTTTCCTTTTCTGCTGATGAAGCAGCTGTTCACTGTGACAAGATGCCATTGATGTCTCTCAGCTTCAACTCCTTGTCATCCATAATGTCCTTGCTTTTTCATCATTATCTGTACGATGCAAAAATCCTTTCCTTTTCTTTCTGATGAAGCGCTGTTCACATGTGATGATGCCATTTGACGTCTCTCAGCAGCAACTCATACCCAATGTCACCCAATGGCTTTTCCTCATTGGTCATAATACGATGCAAAATCCTTTCCATTTCTGCTGATGGAAACAGCTGTTCATGTGACAAGATGCCATTTGACATCTCTCAGCTTCAACTCATACGTCACCCAATGTCGCTTAGCTTTTCATCATTGGTCAAATACGATGCAAAATCCTTTCCTTTTCTTGATTAGCTGTTTATGTGACAAGATGCCATGTTCACATGTGACAAGTCCATTTGACATCTCTCAGCTTCATCATTCTAATGTCCTTGCTTTTTCATCATTGGTCAAAATATTCAAAAATCCTTTCCTTTCTGCTGATGAAGCAGCTGTTCACTATGTGACAAAGATGCCATTGACATCTCTCAGCTTCATTTCCTTATAGCTGCGTGTCGTTACTTTTCGTCATTGGTCAAAATACGATGCAAAAATCCTTTCTTTTCTGCTGATGAAGCAGCTGTTCACAAAAGATGCCATTTGACATCTCTCATTTCTTCGCACCCAATGTCGTTCCTTTTCATCATTGGTCAAAATACGATGCAAAAATCCTTTCCTTTTCTGCTGATGAAGCAGCTGTTCACATGTGACAAGATGCCATTTGACATCTCTCAGCTTCAACTCATACAGCACCCAATGTCATTTGCTTTTCATCATTGGTCTGTAATACGATGCAAAAAATCCTTTCCTTTTCTGCTGATGACAGCTGTTCCATGTGACAAGATGCCATTTGACATCCTCTCAGCTTCAACTCCTTACATTTCATCAATTGCAAAAATCCTTTCATCATCTGGTCATATACGATGCAAAAATCAAGATCCATTTGAAGTCTTTTTCATCATGTTCACATGGACAAGATGCCATTTTCCTTCTCAGCTTCATTTCATACGGCAAGATAATGTCGTTGCTTTTTTTAACTCTGGTCATAATAATCATGCAAAATCCTTTCCTTTTCTGCTGATTAAGCAGCTGTTCACATGTGACAAGATGCCATTTGACATCTCTCAGCTTCCATTTCATACGGCAATAATGTCGTTGCTTTTCATCATTGGTCAAAATACGATGCAAAAATCCTTTCCTTTCTGCTGATGAAGCAGGTGTTCACATGTGACAAAGATGCCATTTGACATCTCTCTGTTCATTTCATACGTCATCTAATGTCGTTGCTTTTCATCATTGGTCCTAATACGATGCAAAATCCTTTCCTTTTCTGCTGATGAAGCAGCTGTTCACATGTGACAAGATGCCATTTGACATCTCTCAGCTTCAGCTCATACGGCACCCAATATCCTTGCTTTTCCTCATTGGTCATAATACGATGCAAAAATCCTTTCCTTTTCTGCTGATGAAGCAGCTGTTCACATGTGACAAGATGCCATTTGACATCTCTCAGCTTCAACTCCATACAAATCTAATGTCCTTGCTTTTCATCATTGGTCAAAATACGATGCAAAATCCTTTCCATTTCTGCTGATGAAGCAGCTGTTCACATGTGACAAGATGCCATTTGACATCTCTCAGCTTCAAACTCATACGTCATCCAATGTCCTTGCTTTTCATCATTGGTCATAATACGATGCAAAATCCTTTCCTTTTCTGCTGATGAAGCAGCTGTTCACATGTGACAAGATGCCATTTGACATCTCTCAGCTTCAACTCATACGTCACCCAATGTCCGTGCTTTTCATCAATGGTCATAAATACGATGCAAAATCCTTTCCTTTTCTGCTGATGAAGCAGCTGTTCACTTGTGACAAGATGCCATTTGACATCTCTCAGCTTCAACTCGCCACGGCACCCAATGTCGTTGCTTTTCATCATTGGACAAAATACGATGCAAAAATCCTTTCCATTTCTGCTGGTTGAACAGTTGTTCACATGTGACAAGATGCCATTTTGAATCTCTCAGCTTCATTCATACGGCACCCAATGTCCTTGCTTTTTCATCATTGGTCAAAATACGATGCAAAATCCTTTCCTTTTCTGCTGATGAAGCAGCTGTTCACATGTGACAAGATGCCATTTTGCATTTCTCTGTCTCTCATACGGCATCCAATGTCCTTGCTTTTCATCATGGTCATACCAAATCCTTTCTTTTCATGAAACATTGTTCATGTGACAAGATGCCAAAATCTCTCAGCTTCATTTTCCTCATTTTGCTTTTTCATCATTGGTCAAAAATACGATGCAAAATCCTTTCCTTTTCTGCTGATGAAGCAGCTGTTCACTGTGACAAGATGCCATTTGACATCTCAACTTCAATCCTCCAACCCAATGTCTTGCTTTTTATTGGTTTAATACGATGCAAAATCCTTTCCTTTTCTGCTCAAACTCTATGACAAGATGCCATTTTGACATCTCTCAATCCTCATACGGCATCAATGTCGTTGCTTTTCATCATTGGTCAAATACGATGCAAAAATCCTTTCCTTTTCTGCTGATGAAGCAGCTGTTCACATGTGACAAGATGCCATTTTGACATCTCTCAGCTTCATTTCATTACGGCACCTGTCGTGTCGTTGCTTTTCATCATTGGTCAAAATACGATGCAAAAATCCTTTCCTTTTTCTGCTGATGAAGCATCTGTTCACATGTGACAAAGATGCCATTTTGACATCTCTCAGCTTCATTTCATACGTCACCCAATGTCCTTGCTTTTCATCATTGGTCATAATACGATGCAAAAATCCTTTTCCTTTTCTGCTGATGAAGCAGCTGTTCACATGTGACAAGATGCCATTTGTCAACTCATCGTCTCTCAGCGTCAACTCATACATGCAAAAATGTTCCTTGCTTTTCATCATTGGTGCCATAATACTTCATTTCATGCAAAATCCTTTTTTCATTTTCATGCTGATGAAAAAGCTGTTCTGCTGTGACAAGATGCCATTTGACATCTCTCAGCTTCAACTCATACGGCACCAATGTCCGTGCTTTTCATCATTGGTCAAAATACGATGCAAAATCCTTTCCTTTTCTGCTGATGAAGCAGCTGTTCACATGTGACAAGATGCCATTTGACATCTCTCAGCTTCAACTCATATGGCACCCAATGTCGTTGCTTTCATCATTGGTCTAAATACGATGCAAAAATCCTTTCCTTTCTGCTGATTTTCATCATGTGACAAGATGCCATTTGACATCTCTCTTCATTTCATACGGCACCCAATGTCGTTGCTTTCATCATTGGTCAAAATACGATGCAAAAAAAGCCTTTCCTTTTCTGCTGATGAAGCAGCTGTTCACATGTGACAAGATGCCATTTGACATCTCTCAGCTTCATTTCATACGGCACCCAATGTCGTTGCTTTTCATCATTGGTCAAATACGATGCAAAAATCCTTTCCTTTTCTGCTGATGAAACGGCTGTTCACATGTGACAAGATGCCATTTGACATCTCTCAGCTTCATTTCATACGGCATCCAATGTCGTTGCTTTTCATCATTGGTCAAAATACGATGCAAAATCCTTTCCTTTTCTGCTGATGAAGCAGCTGTTCCCCATGTGACAAGATGCCATTGACATCTCTCAGCTTCAACTCATACGGCACCCAATGTCCTTGCTTTTCATCATTGGTCATAATACGATGCAAAATCCTTTCCTTTTCTGATGATGAAGCAGCTGTTCACATGTGACAAGATGCCATTTGACATCTCTCAGCTTCATTCATACGGCACCCAATGTCCTTGCTTTTCATCATTGGTCAAAATACGATGCAAAAATCCTTTCCTTTTCTGCTGATGAAGCAGCTGTTC